GTTTCCAATGATAATTCCCAGATCCCTGTGGTGCTTGTCTCTGTGGCTTTAAAAACAATTTGCATAGAACAGAACGTATGAGAGCAAGATGAGGCAAGCCATATTTACTTACATTCACTTTTCAGCCAGCGTGCTATTTCCCATTGCTCTTTCCATTAATGTATCATTTAAGTGCTCTTCAGTTTTTAGCTCCTTAACTCCCACCAAAACTGTCTTGAGAAAGGTTACTGCCTGTGCATTTGATCGAATAAAGAGTCTGTGGGACAGTGGCCATCTGCTTCTCTGTGGTCACTTCTGGAGTGTGTGGCCTTATAGGCCATAATTCAGGGGACGGCCTGGGCAACCTACCGTTGCGTGTGTGGATTCATGATGTGGACATGAATCCTTCCCATGCTGCAGTGGTAATCTGTAGCAACCCAGATCCATTCATCTCCTCACCTAGCTGAGGTATGATCAGGTGGGAAGGGCTCACAGCATACCTCCTGCAACATGGTTTCCAAAGATCAGCTTCTCTGGAAGCCGTGGAGAAACAGCCCATGTTTACCTCTTAACCTGCTTAGGATTTTCTTTAGTGTTTTTGTAGTTGAGGATGAAGTCTGCTTCTTACAATGGTAGTCATGAGCATGGCTTGGAACATGAGAAGCAGCCATTTCAGACGAAGAAGCAAAGAAGAAGACACCTACGTTATTAGCCACTAGTGATCCTGGATGTTGATGATACGGTCTCATGTTCTATTTCCATGAAAAGGCACTGAGTTGACTATCTGTGTTGACTCAGCACATCGATTAGTGAAATGCAACATGTAATCCTTGGTCTCTGTCCCCTTGCGAATTGCCACATTCCTTGTGGTCCCTTGAAGCTCCAGATGAACTAAAACTGCATGATGCATACAGAGGAGTGGAAGCTGTCTTGCGCAAAGTGTCTGCATCCATGGCACATCTGCCAAGATTGGGATGGTACACTGAAAATTATACTGAGTCAAGCCACCAAATGCACTATTCTCTCTGAAACACAGAAACAAAGCAAGTCAGAAACGGTCTCCTGAGCAACCTAATCTGACCCCAGTTCCAGCCAGCTCCACTCATGTAATCCCCGACATGTGGTCGTCCAATCTTTACTTGAACACCCTCACTGATGGGGCCTCCACTACCTCCCTTGGAAGCCCGTTCCATATCCTAGGGGTCCTAACCATCAGGAAGTACTTCCTGGCATCCAACCCGAAACCCGGTTCCTTGAGCTTTGCCCCACTGGAACGCGTCCTCCATTGCAGGGAAGAACAGATCATGGCCCTCCTCCACATGACATCCCTTCACGTACCTCTAAGTTGCTTAAAGATACCCTTGGGGTCTCCTCTTCTCCAGGCTGAAAAGACCCAGTTCCCTCAATTTCTCCTCATATGTCTTCCCTCCCAACTCGGCTACCATTTTTCTGCTCTGATTGGTGGCATCTTTACAAGGTTTTTGGCAGAGAGTTTCCTGAGCATTAGAAATAAACCCTGAACTCAAAAATTCTCCGAATTCTATCCCAAGGCTAATTCCAACTTAAATTCGTATCAAGATTTTTTGGCTTTTTGCATGAAAATCTGTGCATTTTCATACACATTGTTCTAAATGTATACAACAGTTGTGCACCCATTTGAAATCTGCATATTGCTTTCTTATTATTAAAGGATATTTGTGTACATCTTTGAAAATGCATGTTTCATGTGTATTTTTTCAAATGAGTGTTCAGGCAATATGAAAATGTAATCAATAAATAAATAAATGAGGCTATTCAATGCAAAATTTTTCAGTCTGAAAATCACATTGCAAAGTTGGAAATGTAAGGACCTCAACTTCAGATTGTTCCTGAGTCTGTGTTTGGACTTCAGATTGTTCCTGAGTCTGGAAAGGGAGAACTGGGCAAATTCTGATGCTGATCAGAAATGGACAGAAAAAAAATTCTTATAGATTGCTGGAGCCCATTCCCAGCTGGTTCTCCATGTAGGGGGATAGGGTCCAGAGCACAGGGAGCTGGCATCCATTGTATTTCCAAAGGCACAGAAGTTTTATAATGTTGGAAAATGTATAATGCAGATTAGTGAAAGACCACTGAACAGGTACAGAAATTAGCAAAACAAATACAAAAGAAGCGGGATTTACATCCAGCTGATGTCACAACTCTTGGCTGATGGTTCATGTGTGGAGATGCCCCTGCTGAATGTTTTGTCAGATGCTCCAATTCCCTGGAAACTTTTCACCATGGAAGTCCAGATTCATGGAACTCACATGAGCCAGCCCTTAGAGTTTCTCGTGAAATCATCGGAACAGGATCTGAGATGAATATCCCAAGATTCCCTCACTCCAACTCCAAACAGTCCCAGAGCCTCATCTTGCAAAATAAGCCCTACACAAAGCCCTTCAATGGCTATACTGGTGACTGTGTGGCTCAGGATTCAATTTTTTCTTTTTAGGCATCTGTTGCAACTGCACAGCAAGACCATTTTCCTCATTGGGAGGTTCCAAAGTGAAATACAGTATCCGTCCATCTGACATGAATGCCAAATGTATCACTAGCTCTGCATATACCTCTGCTGCTTTTATATTTTTAATGCATTCAATCGATAACTTTTTTAAAAAATTCCAAGGTTGCTTCAGTATTCTGCTTCAAGGAAGTAATGTATGCAGGACATGACCCAAGGCTGCCAAAAGGAAACTAAATGAATAATATTTCTTAAAACCATTTCTGCTTTGCTTTCTTAAGCAAAACAAAATCAGGTTGCATCGTCTCCTGACTGCCATCATTTGAACGCTCTTATTTTCAGCAAGACAATCCCAGAGCACTCCAAAGGGAAATTTAACATGAACTGTGTGCTAATCTCATCTCCACTAAGAACAAGGAAGGAGAAGCAAAACCCCCAGTCATGTTCCACCCAGCACTCTTCATATGACAGTATCACCCAATAACAGTATTCAGAAGTATTCTTCTGTGCAGTAAATGCCTAAAGTTTGTGTTTTGTTACTAGTTCTTCCTTTCAATCTAGCAACTACCTTTGCCTGGGAAAAGAGGAGACTTTGGCAAGTATATGCCTTCTTGGGCACTCTGGGAGAGCTAAGCCAACCTGCCTCTACCAGTTCGGAGAGACAAAGACAGCCCACTGGAAGTGAATGGTCCCTGGTGGCTTTGAAGTAAATTCACAGCACAGGGTGGTTGTTATTATCTTTGCACTGCACCTTGTGCCCCCGCTTCTGAGCTCCAGCACAAAAACAGACCTGTGAGGAAGCTTGAGCTGGCAGTTGATGCCTGGCCCGAAATCACCCAGTGAGCTCCTTGGTGGAATGAGGACTAGAACCTGGATCGTCCAGCTCCCTGGTCCCACACCCTACCCAGCACACCACATCAGCAATCTGAAGATAAACAACATTGTTTGATGTGAAGATGTGATTATCCATTCAAAGTCTATAGTATACTTCAACTGGTTCAGGATAGAGCTGTTGGGTTGTTAGAAGGGACTGGCAGGTATGGACACATCACGCCGGTCCTTTTCCACCTACACTGGCTTCCAGTTGAAGCCCAGGTCAATTTAACGTGCTGGTGATGACCTATAAAGCCCTAAATGGCCTAGGACCTGGTTACCTGAAGGAGCATCTCCTTCCATGTTTGCCTGCGCACCCTTTAAGATGTGGGGCAGACACCCTTCTTCAGGATCCCTCCCTGAAGGAGATTAGGGCCTTCTCTGCGGTGGCGTCCCAATTGTGGAATTCACTCCCCAGAGATATTTGCCTGCCACCAACACTTTATTCTTTTTGGCACCAGACTAACCCCTTTTTATTTTTCCAATGTGTTAAGATTTGGTCATTTTAATTGGGGTTTATTGCTGGCTGGAAATTTTATTAGGACACTGTGTTTTATTTTATATTGTCTTATTGTTAAACCATCCTGAGACCATGGTAAGCGACAGTCTAGAAAAGTTTTAAATGAATAAATAAAAAAAAGTATGACAGAGAAAGTAATAAAATTGTTGACATGAGGAAGCTCCCCTGAACCGAGCCAGACGCCTGATCCATCAAGGACCGGCGACACTGGGTGGGTCTCAAGCCACAGCAAGACATTGCACTGTTTCTGCAGTGCACGGATGTTTGCCTCAGCCTCCCAGACAGACGCTCATGCGGTTCCCATGCAACACAGTTTCCATGCTCCCCTTTCTGCCCTCCTGCTTTCTCCATGCACCCCAGCAGCTCCCACTAGCAAAATCCCCTTCTGTACTGTATTGTTCCTTATGGACCTCAGCCACCTCTTTCTGATGCTCCGTTGAGGTGTGTTCTCCCTCTCCTCATCTCCCCAGTGTACCAGCATCTCTGTAATGCTTCTTAGCTACTTCAGCCCCCAAACATTTTTTATTAAATTAGAGCAAACAGTTTGATGTCCAGCATTGTCCAGCAGCATCAAATTCTTGGTTGCTGGGCAAGTCTGATGTGGCCAGAACCAACTCTGTAGCTCATGAGAGTGGAGGAGGAACCCTAACCCTAAACCGCCCCCCCCATTCTTTCACATGATGGTTGCCAGTAAAGATTTGGCCAGGAGCACCCCACAAAACTAGTACACAAACTCTGGAACATGTTGTTACTCCAGACATGTTTTGGTTCACAGAAAGAAAACTGTAAGAGGCAAGTGGCTGAAATTTGGGGACATGTGTTGGTAAATATTTTACAATGTCCTAGAATGTCCAGATGGTAGGTTTATGCATGTGTGAATTACACAACAGAATGTGAGCCATGAGAGGGCAGTTTTGCAGCACGTAGGATGACTTATATAAATGTATGTATTACACAAGCCAAGCCTTCATTCTCCCTCCACTTTGATATGGTGTTGAATCACTTCTTGGTTGTTTTCCCTCCATCTCTGCATTTCCCCTCTGTCGCTGCATTAATTGCTTCTGCCTGCTTACCTAAGGCCTGTTCTGAAGGTCCATACAGCACAACTGCCTGCTAGCTTCACAAAACATGTGAAATGGAAAGGAGACTGTTCCCAAGGGTCACCCAGTCCCCCCAGTGCCAACTCATCTGCTGACCACATTCAAGGAGGACCTCACCAGATGGTCTACAGGGGACAAGGCAAGTTGTTAAGGGATTTGAATCACATCATCTGGATAAATGCGAACTCAAATGTTACGTTAGGGTGTGCAAGGAAGGTGCTTAAGTGGTCGATATCTGGCAGATTGACCCAGCCAACTCCCATGAATCCCAACTGGTCTACTCAGTGCTGGTGAGTTCAAGTCAGCACAGCAGTCTTCTGCTTTTAAAGTGCCCTGTGAATAGCATTTTTTTAAAAGGGTAGAAAGTTTATGACTTAAATATGACTGCAATTTGCATAAAATGTAACCATATTTTAGAAGGATTGTGGCTGTATTTTATGCAAATTACAGCCACATTTTATGGAAATTTCTCTGCCTTAAAAAATAAATCATGGTCCACTTTAAAAGCAGAAGCCACAAAAAACCTATGACTCAGCCCACTTTCTTCTCTTGTGCCTGCCAAGTGCAAAGAGGGTTGAATTCTTCGGTATAACCAACCCTATGCTGCATAAACTACTAAATTCTAAAAGACTGCAAAATGGTTTTTTTTTTTTAATGTTCCAAGCTAGAAATATCTGGATGTACATCAATCCATAGAATCCAAAGCAAAGAATTTTGAAAATTCATTTTAGTGTCAAACAGTGAGTTGGCACTGCAACTGTTTTGTTAGTCCACATGTATATTTTATTCCAATATTATATATAGATAAATGATGATAGAAATGGATGGATGGATGGAATTAGAAATACTTCTCTGACCCATAACTCTGCCAGGTTTAAGTCTGAGGTCTACAGCAATTGTGAGCAAGGATGAATTTTGCAGCTTGAGTTGTTTACCAAGAAGAAATTAAGAGTGGCTGTCAAAACTATTACTGACATTTAAATAATGCCTTGCTCCAAATGCCTCAGGATAGCTGATAACAGCAAGGGGTTCTAATGCACTCCGTTAAGT